CGCAGGCTTTTGTCTGCGCGCGGGGTTCCTGTCCCCAGGTCGGGCGCTCACCCCACAGCCAGGCTGGCTCCCCACCTGGATTATCAGCGCCTTCCTGGGGGCACGGGGTATATGGGTTTATCTCCGGCTACAAACCCAGCTTAACCGGGGGTGGAGGGGCTTAGAACCCGGTCCACTGGAGCCCGCCTGTCCTCGGAGGGAGCCTGGAAGCCGGGGGAGCGAACCATATGGGTGTAGACACCCCTCCCCCATGTGAGTGTGGATCCGGTGGGTCCCAGATTTCCTTTGAACCCTGGAGTTTAGGCAGAAACACCAGGGTTCAAAGGGTGTGGTCCGCCGGTCCCGTGCCTCAGTTTCCCCACTTGTAGGATGAGATAACAACAGTGGCCTCAGAGTGGCTGGGGGTCAGTGACCCTGTGCCTCCTGAGGTGCCCAGCACAGGAGTGTCCATTATTTCATTATCTTAAGCATCTTATTATTGTAATTTTATTATTATTTTTAAAGGATTTTATTGTCTAATTATATTTGTTATTACTTTATTGTTATTTATTGTTAGCTTATGTTATCTTATCCGGGCACTTACCTGAGGCCCTACTGATCTCTACATATATCGGTATTTACCGGGATGAGAGATAATACCTCTTTTAAGAGGCCTTAGCCTGGTATTTACCTGCCAGGTGTGTTACTCTGACCTGCACAGAGTGCCCCTCACCTCTGTGTTTTGGGGGGTGAGGCCACTGCTGGGTGGCCCCACCCAGCCTGAGTCATCTTTACCCTGAGCCCTCTTGGTTTCCTGCTAGGGAAGTAGGTTCCTCTCTTGCCCATCCCTGAGGGGGGGGGGGGGGGGGGGGACACGGCGGGGGGGGGGGGGGGGGGGGGGGGCGGAAACAGGTCAGAGGAGGTGATTTTTGCCCAGGGCAACAGTGTCAAAATTCCCCATTTCAGGGAGCAGAATTGGGGGCAATAGGATCTGGTCCTCCCAAACCCTACCTGACTTAGCAGCTGTTCACCATTGGGCCTGCCCACTGGGCACACATTTCCTGAGGACTGCTGGTCCAGGAAGCCTCGGTGCCCGCTCTGGATCCTCAGTCTCCCCATCTGTAGAGTGGTCTTTTGGGCGGCACAGAGAGCAGATGAACAGCTATAGAGCACCCGCTGTGGGCCCGGTGTTGGGGACACAGCAGAGACCAAAACGACGACTTCGTCATGTGTCCTCTTTGCACAGGTCTAGCGAGGAAGGTGAGGATTAAGGAATAAACACATACATGGGCCGGCTGATCTTGGATGCCAACTGGTGACGCATGCAAACAGGGCTGATTGGGCTAGTGGGGGCTGAGGCAGCTTCTGGGGAGGTGACAATTGGTTCAGAGGCCAGAAAGAGCCGGGAAAGGGTGCTTCAGGCATAGGGCTCAGCACATGCAGAGACCCTGAGGTGGGCTGCTTCTGGCCATGTGAGGTCCATGGAAGGAATCCATGTGGCTGGAGCAGCGGAAGCCCCCAGAGGAGAGATGGGGTTGGGCATTGATGTACTGCCAGGTAGAGATAATTTTCTATAGAGTTTACACTGAGAGGCAACACCCCTCCCCCCAGCCTTTATAACAAATAAGAATTACTGGGAGGCTGTGCCCTGCCCCCTTTATGCCTTGTCCTCTCTGTGTCTTGAGTGGGGGGACTCAGGCCCTCCGTAGCCACATGTTTCTTATCTCCTGCTGGAATCTGGTTGAAGTTAGCAAGCTTGAATGGATGGTGGACTCATTTTACAGTGCTCAGCTCAGCACTTGAGGCTCATAAGAGGGTAGTAATTCCCCTGAATGCCTGGGGACAAGGCAGACAGGGTCTCCAACACCAGGTCAAGGAAGAACTGGGCCTTTCTCTGACAGTGCTAGGGAGCCACGGGTGGTGGTGGAACAGGGGAGGGGCCTGTTGGGTCTTAGCTAGGTGGGCTTTCGTCTGAGGAACCCACCACAGATCTCTGTGAACCCACAAGTGAAGCAAGAGGCATCCTTTTGTTGTATGTGGGGGTTCTGTTCAGACTCAGGTTCAAATCTTAGCTCTGATCCTCCTCTGGGGGTGCCGGGAAACCCTTTTTCTCAAAGAGCCCATGCCATAAGGGCTGGAGCTCTCTCACTGAGTCCTGCCCTGCTCTGATGTCTGATAGCTCCCCCCAGGATGTGGCTTCTGTTATCTGCCCAACCAGGCTACCATCCTGGACTCTGTCCAGCTCCTGGAGTGGAGACTGAGGCACTGGAGCCCCAGGGAGGCCATGGGTGAATCTGGAGGTTGGGGTGGGCGTGTTTGAGCCTCGGGAGTCAACTCTCAGGTCGGATTCTGTGCTGACTTGATATGTGAATGCTCACCCCAGGGATGTTGCTATGATCATTGGTGTAGCTGAGGGGGTGAGCTCCCCATCACAGGAGGGAACCAAGCAGATAGGGGTTGGGATGCCAGGGGAGGGTGCCTGTCCCAGCTTCTCTTGGCTTTGAATGTCCTCTCCCAGACTCATAGGCACCCACAGGTATTTTCTGGGACATCTGATGCAGCAGTGTGTGTGTGTGTGTGTGTGTGTGTGTGTGTGTGTGTGTGTGTTTGAGCACCTACTGTGTGCCAGGTTTAGCTGTGAGTGCCCTAGGAGAGGTTATGATCTATTGGGAGAGGTGAGGAGTCATTAGTGGAGAGTAGAATGTACGGTGATCCAAAAACCAAAGCAATAAGGTATTAAACGGAAGAGGTTGCAATCTCACTGAGGAAGTTTCAACAGAAACCAAAAGGAAGTGAGCCAGTGAGCCATTCGGAGTCTAGGGGACTGTGTACCAGGCAGAGGGCACAGCAGCACAAAGGCCCGGAGGTGGGACTGTGCCTGGCTTTTTGGAGGAGCAACAGGAGATGACAGGAGTGAATGAGGGAAGGTACATGGGGAGGGGCATCCTGGCACCCCAGACATTCAAGGGCCAGAATCCACTGTCGCCCACACCATGAGGGTTTCTGAGCCCAGCAGGGACCATCCACACTCTGTGTGAGTCCATGGGGACCATCCCGTGGTTTGGTGTTGTCAGGAACTGACCAGAAAGCCCCAGCACCCTCTTGCCTTGAGGTTTCTATCCGAGAGCCCCCTGCTGCTTCTATGCACCTGGCCTTCTGGTCCCCAGCAGGAGGCTTGGTGGCCCTGCTAATCCATCTCCATAGTTAATGCCATTTGCTCTGAGGAGGGCAGATTAGCTGGAGGGGGGCACTCCGGCCCCCTCCCTGGTCCTGGTCCCTGGGCACATTGGGGAAGCTGGGCTCAGGTGGATCACGTCTTTGAGAAACTCCCAGAGGATTGTGGTGCTCAAATCCGTATACTCTGGGCCTCATCAGCCTGCAGCTAAAATCTGGAAACCGGGGGGAGAGGGGAATGGGGAGCAGCTTTTCTCAGCCACCCACCTGATGTGTGAATTCAGGGTCTTCTCTGAGCTTCCGTTTACTAATCTGTCATCACAATTATGCCTGCATTTCGGGTGATGTGACGATGAAACAAAAATGTTAAGGGTCCAGGGCTGCATACACGGCAGGGGGTGAGCTGCCCTCGCTGAGGGGAACCAAGCAGGCGAGGACCATGGTAGGATGGCAGTGGTAGGGTTCTGCCTGGGCGTCCTGGCCTGTCTTGGCCCTGAGGACTGCTCCCCGCCCTAAACCCTGGCCCACAGGCACCTCTCGGGATGCCTGCCCGCTCTAGCTGGCTCCCAAGTGAAGAGGTTCTCGGCCTCCAAGCGGAAGCAGCACTTCATCAACCAGGCTGTGCGGAACTCAGACCTTGTGCCCAAGGCCAAAGGGCGGAAGAGCCTCCAGCGCCTAGAGAACAGTGAGCAGGGGTCAGGGGTCAGGGGTCCCTCCTGGGGGTTCCGAGGTCTCCGATGAGAATGGTATGCATGTTGGAATTATCTGCTGCCCTTACCATGGGCCTGACCCTGAGCTGGGCAATCCTGGGGCTGGGCCAGAGGGAACTTGAGGCATTGGAGCCGGGGCTTTAAAGGGTGTGTAGGAGTTCAACTAGGCAGGGAGAGGTAGGAGGACTTCTGGAGGCTGGATGGTTTCTGTACCTTCTGGGAGAGACAGTTGGAGTGTGGAGGTGGGGAGGCTGGTACAATCCAGAGAATAAAAGCTATAAATATAGAGAAGTTAGAGTGTCAGCCCAAGTACTGAAGGGTCTCGGGTTTGATTCCCGGTTAAGGGCACATACCTGGGTTGCATGTTCAATTCCTGACCCCAGTCAGGGTGTGTGTGGGAAGCAACCAATAGATAGATGTGTCTCTCTCACATCGACGTTTCTCTCTCTCTCTCCCCCTCCCTCCCTCCCATTCTCTAAAAATCAATGGAAAAAATATCCCCATGAGAATTAACAAAAAATATAAATAGAGAGAGAGGGAGGAAGCCTGGAGGGCCCCAAATGCCACACCCCAGCTCAGAGACCATCTGTTTCCATCTAGCCCAATACCTCCTGACCCTGCTGAAGACAGACGGGGACACACTTGGTCCGGAGGATGGGGACCTGGCACCCCCCGCAGCACCTGGCATCTTTGCGGAGGCCTGCAGCAATGAGACATATGTAGAGGTGGGGCTCCCTACGCTCTTGCTTACTCCCTCTGCTCCAGCCACAGTGTTTCTGTTCTGACTCCCACCCCCAGGCATTGCCTGTGCTAGTGCCTCCACCAGGAGTCCCCACCTACCTCTGGTCCCTTGATTGATGCCCCTTCAGTCTTCCTCTGGGTCCCCCAGACCAGGCTGGAACCCCACAACCCACCCCAGAATCTCCCAGCACCCATGACTCATCTGCTCATCCATATAGATACCCCTCCCCAGACCAGCAGGTCTTCAGGCGTCCCATGAACTAAACTCCTGGCGGGTCCTGTGGGCAAAGGTGTCCACAAGGAGTATTTCCATACACTTGGTGGCCCGCTGTGTGCATTGGCCAGATGGGGAAACAGTGCCCCGAGATGCACCATCATTAGCCCAGGGCCTGCCTGCCTCTGTTCCAGGTCTGGAATGACTTCAGGAACCGCTCCGGGGAGGAGCAGGAGCGGGTCCTCCAATACCTGGAGGACGAAGGCAAGAGCAAGGCCCGGAGAAGGGGACCTAGCCGGGGGGTGGACCGGAGGAAAGGTGCGGCCTGCATGGGAGGTTGGAAAGGGACCCAGACTTGTGGATAGGGGCCTGGCCTAGTGTGTGGGGCGGGACTAGGACAGGTGGGGAGGAGCCCCGTGGGGCAGGCAGGCTGTTTGCTTCAGCTGCCGCCCAAGCCTTGGACTCTTGCAGAGGACCCAGCCTACACCCCCCGAGAGTGCTTCCAGCGCATCAGCCGGCGTCTGCGAGCCGTTCTCAAGAGGAGCCGCATCCCCATGGTGAGTATCAGGCAGGGCCTATCTTCCCCCACCTGCCTGTCTTAACTTTTCAGTTGGGGGTGGCACGAGGGCACCAGTTACAGAGTGCACATGCTGCAGTGGAAACAGGGTGGGATACACACCAGTGTGATCAGAATGCAGGGCCCAGGGCTGGTCAAGGGTGGGAGGGTCATGGGCAATGAAGGTGGGCACTGCAGGATGTGTAGGAGTTCACCAGGCAGAAGGTGCAGGCATTCAAAGATAGGAAGGTTTCTAAGTGCCTGGAATTCTTGGCACTCGTTACGTAGCCTCATGTTGCCGGTCAGAGGCCACATTTGAACCCAAGGCTTTGAGCACTGGAGACTGTCCTGGGCATGGGGGTGCCGGGCCCCGATCTCAGTGTCAGCCTGACCCTGGGCCTGTGTCTCCTGCAGGAAACGCTGGAGACCTGGGAGGAGCGGCTGCTGAGGTTTTTCTCAGTATCTCCCCAGGCCGTGTACACGGCCATGCTGGACAACAGGTGACTGGTGGGGGCAGGTGCAGCAAGCTCCCTCCATGTGTGCCATGACTCCAGCCGTGGCCATTCACCGCCCATTCCTCCACAGCTTCGAGAGGCTCCTACTCCATGCTGTCTGCCAGTACATGGACCTCATCTCAGCCAGTAAGTGCCCGGCAGCTCTGGGACCCTCCCAGTGAGCCAGTTCTGCCCATTCTGCCCACAGAAACCGAGGCTACGCGGGATCTATTGGAGGGGGTGGTGGGGGGAGACAGCCTGAACAAAGCAGTGGTAGTGGAACTCTGCGTTAATTCATCAGAGCACCTGTGGTCCTGGCCTCACACAGGGTGATGCTGTGGACACAGACCCCACCTCCATCCACATCTTCAGAGCCAGAGGGAGAGAGGGGCCTATGTGAGGGTGATGAAGCTGAGCTTCGAGGGGACCCCAGTGTCTGCAGGGTCCTCATTTAGCCATACTCCCCTCTGCTGTGCCACACATGACTTCTGGCAAGTGCCCCTTCTTGGGGCCTGTGTCCCAGTTATAAAAGGGGTGGGGGTGGTCTTGGGACACAGCTCTCTAGGGATGGTGCTTGTAGGCCTTTGCTGTCTGTCTCGCTGTTTCCTGCCCAGAGTCGCTTAGGAGACAGTTCCCATGGCAACCCCAAGATGGTTCATCCACATGCTTGTCTTTGTTCTCATAGATCAGGATGGATGGGGGGCTTGCCCGGGGGGTGCTTCTCTGCTGGAGTCCAGCTGTTGCCTGAACACAGCGGAGGAGGGGCCCTGGCAAGATGGGGAGCAGGAGAGAGGCAGAAGTCTCCAGGTGGGACTGAGCTTCAGAGTCACCCCTAGGGTAGGGATGGAAGCAGGCGAACTGGGAAGAGGCAGGACATTTGTTCCAGGCTGAGTGTACCCTTGGTCTCCGGCCTGTGTATCTCAGTGCATCCGTCTGAATATGGATAAGGAACAGAAAGGATGAAACAGTTGCAGATGGAAGTTCTCATGGATTTGGAGCTGTTATTGTGAGCCTGTCACGGTCAGCCGGACCCCAACTGCCGGCTGGCCCTGCCTCTTGCATTCTTTTCATTCTTGCCCCACTTGTCACCTCTTGCAGGTGCCAACCTGGAGGGCAAAAGACAGATGAAGGTCAGCAATCGGCATCTGGACTTCCTGCCTCCTGGGCTGCTCCTGTCCGCTTACCTGGAGCAACGCAGCTGATGCCAGCCTGCCCGCCCCTCCCACCCCCCTTCCCTTCAAGATTCCCTATACCTCCACTAAAATGTTTGTTAATTTTAGAATTTGTCATGCTGCCCCCCTTGGGGTGGCACTCCCACCCTAGCCCCATCCCATCCCATCCCATCCCATCCCAGCTCTTCCAGGTAAATGCTGGCGGCTGGAGCTGCCTTAGACTATACTGGGCCCGTAAGTCCCTGCTCTGGTACTTGTATTTGGGTGAAGAGACCTTCATTCAGCTTCCACAGCCCAGTCTGAAGCTTACGCAAGGAGGGAGAGGCTAGGTTTTTATCACTTTTAATGAATTTGGGATGATGTGTTGTAGATTTTTAAATTTTCCTTTTGGGAAGAAAAACCAAATACGCCAACTGATAAATTGGGGGCTTTGTTCTAGTCCCTGCTTGACTTCCCTCCCAGTTTTTGGCTAGAATTGGGGGGTCTCTGGGGTGCTGCCCCTCACTCCAGGAGCATTACGTGTTGTGTGTGCGTGTGCGTGTTATTATGCATGCTGGTGTCCTGCTACCCAGGACAGCAGCTGTGTCTTAAAGGCTGGTTTTACCCTCTTTGGAATGTGTGTTTCCTCCCCGGGTGCTTTTTGGTGGCTCTTGGGGCCCTGCCTGCTCTTCAACCCCTCCCCCCATCTTTTATCCTCTCTTCATACTGGGAGTCTGGGACTTCCAGCCAGAAGCCTCCAACCTCCCACTGCCAACTTCCCCTCTCCATGTTCTCTCACCACCACCCCACTCCCCAGCCTGACCCTGGTCTATAGCTTTGGGGTGTCACCCTGACCTGGGCCACAGAAGCAGGGCTGGGGACACCCCTCCACACACTGCCGTATGTGTGGCTAGTTGTGCTTTGGGAAAAGTGAAGAATTCAATAAATTTCTGGTGCTCTGGTCTCCAGATGTGGGATTTTCTTTTGGGGCCGGGCGGGAGGCACAATAGGTGCTCAGGATGTGCTTGGTTCCTGATCACTGAGGGCGGTGGGTCTGGGGGAAGAGCTGAGTTGCTCCTGGAGGGCAAGGCAGGTGGTGGGGAGACTGCTGGGAGCATCTGGGCGTTGGCTGTGCCATCCTGGCCCTTCCTGGATGTCCAGGCTCTGCCACTTTCCAGTTGTATGACCTCCAAAAAGTCACTAGAGTGAGGTTGGCTGGGGTAGACGGCACGAAACACCACACCCCGCAATGAAATAACCCGCACGGAGGCTGAAAACAACAGGGCTTGTCTCCCAGTTCTGAAGGCCAGCAGTCCCAACTCTTTAAAAGAGTCCCAAGACCTTGCTTCCTCTGGAGGCTCCGGGGAGTGTCCTTCCTACCTGTCCCAACTCCCAATGGCTCTGGTGTCCCTTAGTTCCACCTCCCTGAAGGCGGAGACTCTACATTAATTATGGGGATTTCTGCCCAGGAGGTTTGTCTCTTCTCCCCATGTATGGATTTATTCAATCATTTTATAGCAATGTGGAGGCATGGGTATTTACTTCTACTTTGGATTAGAATGCAGTACTACTGAACTTTGTTATAGAAATGATTTCAAGTTTGGCTCCCGTGTCTGTCTGTTTCTCTTTTTTTATTGATTTCAGAGAGGAAGGGAGAGGGAGAGAGAGGAACATCAGTGATGAGAGAGAATCATTGATCGGCTGCCTCCTGCACGCCTCCTCACTGGGGATCGAGCCCGCAACCTGGAAATTGAGCCCGAAACCCAGGCATGTGCCCTGACTGGGAACTGAACCATGACCTGGTTTCATAGGTTGACACTCAACCACTGAGCCACACTGGTGGGGCTCCTGTCTCTCTCTGCTTCCCATTCTAACCCCCTGCAACCTTCCCCCCTCCCCTACCTCCCGCCTCAGGCCGTCACTACCTTATGGTCTGTGTCCATGGGTTATGCATATAAATTCTTTGGTTAATTACTTCCCTGTGGAGTTTTGGTTAAAACTCCTGTGGGGTTTTTATTTCTTGAGCATGATTCTGACTTTCTGCCATTACATGATGCTCAGGCTGGGCTGGTGTGTTTCCCCAAGGAGTCCAGTTCCTTTTATCGGGGCACCGTGTTAGAAACCAGTGGACGCTGGGTGCACTGTATTCCATTTTAACACGCATTTAAATAGTTTTAGACACTAAATAACGGAAATCCAATGGCCAGTACAGAGGACGAACAAAAGGAGATATTTGAGCAACAAGCTCGGAGGTCCCATCTGCAAAGGGGACCCATCCCTGCCGGAAGCCGGTCCATCCTTGCTGCTTGACACAGTCGCTTCAGGGAGGAAACACCTGCACAGCATATGTCTCAAGGGACCTGGTGTATATGGCATACTGTTCTTAATATGTTTGCTCCTCTTCTTGGCACTATGTGTTTTAAGCAAGGTCACCTCTCCGAGAAAGGTTGTTCCCAGGTAGGGATTTTCCCCTGAAGTTAGGGAGGGAATAAAACCCCTTAACTAAGTGCCAGGCGGGTAGTTAATCACTTTAACTATGGACAATCATGCTTAAGCTACATAATCTTTACTCCCTGGAATGGAGATAAGAAATGCCCTAACCTTTGGAATAGAAATTGACAGGATTAAAATCAACTGGTATAAATACAGATGTAACAAGACAATAACCACCAGAACTTGGCTAGAGATCCTGGCTAGGCTGCTGATCAACTGAAGGCTGTCTCCGTGTCATTCCTTCTTCGACGACTCCGTCCACACCTTTGGGGACCCCTGGACCTGCTGGGGTTGGACCCTAACACATCCCCAGGTTCCCAGAGGACAGGATTGGGTCTCAGGGAGTGGGGCTGTGTGGGGTTCTTCTTGCCCCTGTTCCCCAGCTTGGTTCCCAAGCTGCCTGGCCTCCAAGCCTTTGTCCAGGCCTTGCCTTCCGCCTGGTGCACCTTTCCCTGCAATCCCAGGAGGTAAGACCTCCCACATTGGCACGGGCCTAGGAGGAATAGAAGCAGCTTGTTGTTGGAGGGAGTGGGGATGGGGTTTGAACCCAGAAGGGTCCTCAACTGGATAAGTCACCTCACTTCCCCCACCGATGAACAATACAAAGCAAAGCAAACACAGAATGGAACTAACCAGCTTTGGAAGGAGTTAGAGATGGGGGCTGAGGTTGGGAGGGCCCTCGATTGCGTAAGGCACTTTCTTATCCAGCCTCAGTTTCCCCACCCACGAATATTAGAAAAGCAAAATACTGAACGCTTCACGAGTCTGTGTAGCATTCTTGGGCAAGGACCATGCTCATCTTTTCTGTATCGTCCCAATTTTAGTGCAGTACTGCCGAAGCCAGCATTAGCGAGGGGCCGAACCTAGGGCTATTTACAGGGCATATAAATACTTTCCACTGAGGGCAACCCATCTGGATACGATATTAGTGCAGCACATAACGGAATCTCTCACTGGAGTTGAAACAGTGTCCGTTATCCCAACAAAGCTCAGGTAGCTGCTGGGATTGAGCCTCACAGACAAACAAGCCCCGAAGTGGGCGGAGCCAGCGCCGCCGCCGTCCCAGAAGCCTCTGGGAGGCGGCCGCGCTGCGCGGGCGACTCGTTGGTCCCAGGGAAGATGGCGGCACCGGAGCCGGGGAGGTAGGACGAGTGCGGGCTGCGGCCGCGTCGCCCTGACTGGCCCGGTGAGCAAGAGGCACGGGGGTCCAGAGGGGCCGGCCGGCCTCCGGGCAACCCCCGGGAGCGCGTCCCAGAGGAGGCGGGGCCTCGCGGGCCTGGGGCGGGGCCTGCGGGGTCAGAGGGCGGGTTGGAGAAGCAAAGGGTGCTGGGTATGCGGCCTGGGCGTGGTCTGGGGTTGTTGCAGAAGCGGGGTCCTCAGCCGGGCGGCCGTGGGGGATGGTGACGGGGGAATCGCAGCGGAGCCTAGGGACTGTTTCTCTCTGGGGAGGGTCCTGGGCGAATTGGGGACGGAGTTTAAAGGTTGGGGGGAGAGTCTGGAAAGCCAAGTGTGTTAGGGCGGGGCTGCAGGGCTTCGGGAGCGGACTAAGGATTGTTGGGGAGTCCCTGCGGCGAAGCCTAGGAGTTCAGGCTGGGCCTGGAGGTTCTAGAGGAGATTGGGTGCGGGGTCTGGGGAGCCAGATTGAAGGGGAAGGGAAAAGGGCTTTGGGGGCGGGGCCTGAAGAATTCGGACCTGGGAGTGATATGATTGAAAAAAGCGTTTATCATACTAACTTCACTGGGCTTTTGTAATGGTGAAAGGACATAACCCGTAATCGAGGCCAGGCACATAGAGAGCACTGAGAAGTTCACCGTTATTGTTATTTTTACAATCCATAAGTCCACGCCAAAAACAAACTGCTGACTTCCCCCAGCCTGTCTCCCCAACTCTGCCAGAGGTAGCCCCACCAGGGCCCTTCCGTACGGACAGACCCAGGGTCTGACCTCTTCTCAGTTTCCACTGCTCACCTGGACCAGTGCAATCAGCTCACCCC